TTACTGAATAAATATTTGGTGCTCCGGCCAAATTTTAAATGACTGCCCTGGAACAAATATTCCTGAACGTTCTTGGCTGACTGCACACTTGGAGATTCAAGACAACTTCTTGGAGCTGACGAGAAGAGAGCTCATGAGAAACTTTCCTAAATAAGTCATTGGAACATTTTTCTCCTGAAGAAAATGAACTGTTTTTCCAGTGAATGCCCTTCTACAATTATAACATGAGCCGCCACCTTTGAAGAAAAAATTCCTGCCTGTTCTATTCCTTCATCCCCCAGAAGTGACTGTTACAGAAACATGTTAATTACAGTCGAAATTAGTCATTAAATAAGAAGAGCAACTAGATTGCTTGTTATATATTATAGGTCATTTCACAAAAATGTTTGACCAGCTTATTAAGAAACTTCAGAGCACTACTAAGGATGTAGTGGAAGATAAAGCAGTTAAAGTCTCTGTTCTTTTGCGAGATTGAATGTGTTGTACATTATGTAAAAAATTTTGCATCAGGTCTCATGTTACCGCGTTGTATTGTATTTTCGCATTGTAGCCTTCTTCATATGTATTCCTCATTTGTCTCCAATAAGAAACATCATGTATACACAATATTTTCAGTTGACATTATGGTCATTTGCTATATCAGTTATCAATTTTTCCTCTTTATTCACACTTCCATCACCCAAACTGATTTTTGGATTAAGAGGCTCTAGATGTAGGATTAATTACCTATGGATGACATGCAGAGTAAATTAAATGTTTATATTTTTATGGTTGTACATCTAACATGTAAATAAAGAAATACACTCAAAATATATATTTGTTGTTTAAAATGCACAAGTAGCCTATATGAGTGATTTACAAATGGTGCACACTCCTGGGGTTCTTTTTTTTGTTAATTATTGTTTTTAATAATATTTAATATAATATGTCAGGATCAGTGGGTTAAAATAAATTACTGCGATTAATTTATTTTTCTTTTCTAGCTATAAAGCTTTATCCTTGGTTACTGGGTCATGACCATAGAGGAAACACCTGACTAATGTAGCATGATGATACAAGTGTTTTATGGAAAGCTGTGTAGCATGGCTACAACATGATGTTAATGCGCCATCAAGTCTTTCAAACAACCAGTGTAGTTTTTACCGAGTAAAAGGCAGAAACAGCGACAAACTCCCGTGTCACCTGGCACAAACTCTGGCAGCTGTCAGACAACTTCCGGTACGGTAGCTAGTAGCTGCCGCCACTGGCTAGGGTACGGAAGAATGGTTCCCACTCACATGTTTCCGGAGGAAAGTGGTTACGTGCGGACCGGCTGCTAATGATCAGCTGATGTGTCAGACAGAGTCCAGCCCTCAAGCTTTGTTTTGTTGACGTTTAATAGGACCAAACGTCTTCTAGGCATTGCGTGCGTTACTAAAGGAATATTTACTCGTTATTCTGTGTTACGTCTCTTCATTATTTGACAACATTGTCTTAATCTGAAGCGAAAAAGATGAATCGAGTGACCCCAAGATGCGCTGTCAATATGTTGACGTTTTCATCGCTAGTGTGTTTTCTGCTGATATTATATGCAAAAACATCAGAAGCTAAGGTAAATTAGGACATGTATTTAATACATTAACGAAATTCATTTTGTTGTCGGGACAAACAACATTCATATTGTTTTGTTGGCAGAGCTAACTAGCCGTTAGCATGTTTCAATGTTTCTGCGAATTAAAAGCGTGATAAACTCGCAATCTGAAATCAACAATTTCTGATTCTAAACCATGTAAAATGATTTCCAAACTGACAGAAGTATGGTAGACTGAGTGCGCCAGTAGTTGGTATCATTACATTCATTGGTTATAAATATATAAGCTTGTGTGTATATGGTCACTTTTCTCAGAATTCAGAAGACATCAGGTGCAAATGTATCTGTCCACCCTATAAGGAGATTGATGGGCAGATCTACAATCAAAACGTTTCCTTGAAGGACTGGTAAATGATTTACTATGCTTAATAAGAGACTACAATACTTTCTGTAAAGAACTACATGACTCTAGCCACTGATCCATAACTGCTCACATATAATCATTTTCACAGCAATTGCCTTCATGTGGTGGAGCCGATGCCTGTTGAAGGCAAGGATGTGGAGGCTTACTGTTTACGTTGTGAATGCAAATATGAGGAAAGGAGCTCTGGAACCATCAAAGTAAGTTCAATGTCTTTATGTGATAGATACAATATACAAAGTTTGTTTAGCTAAATAATTATCTTTCATTTTTGTTTTGTTTTTACAGGTCACTATTATAATGTATCTCTCTATTCTGGGCCTTCTGCTGTTGTATATGGTCTATCTGACACTGTTGGAGCCTATTTTGAAGAGAAGGCTGTTTGGCCATTCACAGCTCATTCAGAGTGAGGATGATGTTGGGGTAAGTGTTTTGTTACTACTTTATAGATACTAGATTAAATTTAAGTTGTAAATGTTGGTAGTTAGTTTGGATGAAAAACTGAGTGATGGATGAGTATAATGAAATAGATTTAGTTTAATTAGGACATCTAAAACATAAACACGCCGTAGAAAAAAAAAACACATTACTGATGTGCATCTTGATACAAAACTATTGCACCAACATATTTCAAGATATCCTAGTGCTTAAAACAGCTCAAACATGCATTTTAGTCCAGGACCAGGCTTAAGCCTTGTCTGTGAAACTGGGGTTTGTGTTTTTAATCATAGGCATATGGTATAAAGTAGAAATAATGTGATAACATTACACTCTTTTGCTTAAAGGACCAACAGCCCTTCGCCAATGCCCACGATGTGCTTTCCCGTTCTCGCTCTCGCTCCAACATGCTCAACAAAGTAGAGCATGCTCAGCAGCGCTGGAGGAGGCAGGTCCAAGAACAGCGCAAGTCTGTCTTTGACCGTCACGTGGTTCTCAGCTAAAAGCATTCACAGTCTGGACTGTTATATTTGGGTTCTGGTAATGTGCTGAAGGCTGGGTCTTCTCCATGATGTCTGAGCAGTGATCCCAGTGTGTACATCTCTTTTTGGTGTGTGTAGGTTTGTCGTCTTGACCAATGCATGCGACAAAACCTTGTTTATTATTAGTCTTGCTTGTTATACAGACTGTTTGCATTAATTATCTCTTGCATTAATTATCACTGTGTTCCTGCATTTTGAAATCATGCACTCTGAAATTAGCAACAAAAAAGTTTACTTCTACTGCAGCCCAGACACACCGAATTTGATATGGGGATAGAAGTGCCAATTTCCTCAAAAAAAAAAAAAAAAATGCTGATCCATTTATTCACAAAATGTTTTTATATAAATGTCAGAATTGATACTAAACCCAAACTATTGATATCCAGTCTTTAGTAGTTTATTGTACATAGTAAAATTCCGCTCTCTCACTCTTTCTTACCTTGCAGTCTACTGTCAACTATTATTTGTAAATAATAATCTGTGGATGTTTTGTCACTGTCCCCTAATAATATGCTATTTAATGACTAACTTCCCAGGTCAGTTTTTCTCTAGTTTTGTGTAGAGTCAGCTTCCTGATTCATGATGGTGTAAAAATATTCAAATCTTTTCTTCTTTTTTTTACCACTCTTGATGGACAGTATTTTCCATGGCACTTTCTTTGAAGATTTCAGAATTATACGCTTTGTCATTAATATGTGTATATATACTAATTGAAATGTTCAGGTACATGATTTAACAGAGAGAGCTGTTTTGACATTTTGATTAACATTACAGTTCTCTAAATAGCTGAACTATGGTTGCCTGTGTCAGACTCAGTGGCTGCGTTCCAAACCGCATACTCAATGAGTAGGTACTTAATTTCAATAAGTACTTACTCATCGAGCGCTAAAAGAGTAGGTACTTTATAGCCAAATCTCGTTGAGTATGAATGCGAACCGGACATCTGCCATGTTGACGTTATCATGTGACCTACTACGCGTTATCACAAGCGCAACACCTTCATGCAATTAAAAAAAATATGAACGATACGTTTAATTAATCTACCTATAAATATCTTGATATTGATGAAACTTGCTCATTTTGTTGTGGTATTGTTGAAGAAACAGCTGCCTATTTATTTTGTGAATACATTTAGGGTTGATTTAAGTTGTTATATTTTAAACCCTACTAATGTGAACAACAGTGTTATTCTAACGATATTTTTTTTTATTAAGAAACCCCAAAATCATCATCTCTTGATTATGTTGTTAATTTCTTTATTTTATACCCAAAAAGTTTCTCCTCTTTTTCTTCATGAATTTACCTCGTTTCATCCCTCAGATATAACAACAACTTTTTTATGTATTATAAAGAACTATAATGAAGATATTTAGCCTTTTTTATTGTTCTTATTTCCTGTGTATAAATATAATTTTATGTCATATTATGATGTACACAAACCAATGATCTTTATATTTTCTGTTTTGTCACTATGATTGTTACATAAACTATAGTATCTTTCCATGATCTTGCATATAATAAGTTTAAATTATATGAGCGACAGGTGCTCTAAGACTTCATAACATCAGTAACTTGACAGCACAACCTAGAACAGCGTTTGTAATGTCTGCACAAAGGAGACGGGCAGCTGCTTGAAGATCTCTTTTGGAGGAAACTGTTGATTTTATACTCAAAAAATGTAAGTATCACTGCTTAAAAAATTAATATTACCTCAGAATGAATTTCATTGTTAGCCCACCCCAAAACTTAAACAAAATAATAATATTAAATGCTGACCAATACTTGTATAACTTTTTATATACTAAAAATATAATTTAATAAAACAAGCAAAATGTAATTTGTTTTGTAATATGACAGTAATGCATGAATTCATTTATATTGCTAAATGCAGTGAAACATCTCAATTGTCAGTCAATCGATGAATTAATGCATAAATTAATTACATTTTATATACTGACAACAATAAGAAACATGAATAAATGAGTAAAAGAACAAATAAAAGTAACCATCACAATAAACAAATGCATTATACAAGTCAACACATGAAACAGCTTTATTCAAACTACAAGCATGTATTTACAGGCACTGAACCCCAAACCCTACTGCCGACTCAACACAGCGGTTCCCATTCTTTGATGACAGCATTCAGCATCATGAGCCTCTCTCCACCGGATAAACACACGCGTGTTCTCCTGTCCCTGTAACATACAAGATTCACATTACGAGCTCAACACTGCATTTACATGCTGAGGTTGATGTGTTAACTCACTTTTAATCCAACTTAAATGTTCCTCAATATATCAACACCAATAAGGGACAAATTAAATATATATCATGTTTAGTTACTTTATAGATGTTTTTATTGACAGCACATAATTTGTCTAATGTAAGCAGTGTTGACAACAGAATTATCCTACATAATAGCACACACATGTATTTTTCATGTTGGGATGTGCTCACCTGCAATACTTATACAATATTTTCCTTCCTGATCTAAATAGACATTTTAAATAAGCGTATTTAAGATGTATGGTTATGTAAATACACGTTGGAAACGTAACTTTACGGTTACTGGAGCTCCCCTGTTAGCTATACATAATAAAACATGTGTTTACAGCAAAATCACAACTATACTATACTGTCTAACTCCTTTAGACGTTCAACAGTTAAAACGTTTACTCTATAGTAGTTTAACACATACGATTTAAACCGTATTTACTCACATTTGAAAACCCCCGCGTCGCTTATCTCCGCGATGTTGATATTGACGTATCATCTCTTCTTCTTCTTCTTCTTCTTCTGTGATTTTTTTTTTTTTTTTTTTTTTTTTTTTTATTAAATCTTAACAATACAAACAGTAAGACACAAATAAAGTCATTAATACAGAAAACACAATATTAAACAAAAACAGAGCCAGGGGAAGCTTCAAATAAATACATTAAAGAAAGAGCATAACTGAATGGTTTTAGCAGCCTTCTTATTTTGTGAATCATAAATGGATTTGATATACTGTTCCGTCTCCCTACCAAAAACAATAAAGGAAGGTTTTGAATTACTAAATTTGGCTTTGTGAATATGATATTTCCCTAAAATTATCAATAGATTAATTAAGTATATTTCTTTTTGTTTTTTACCTTTGTCAGCATGGAGACCAAACAGCACATCCCTCCATAACAAAGAAAAATCAGCAGTTTAATAGAAATATATCGAGACAGATCTTTCCAGAAACTGATGGTGTAGGGACATTGCCAGAACAGGTGTACCATTGTTTCAGGAACTAGACCACATAAAGAGCAGTCAACACAAATGTCAAGCTTAAACCTTAGAAGATATTGCTTAGCAGGATAATACCTATGTATCATTTTGAAAGTGATTTCTCTTACTTTATTCGTAAGGAGGTATTTGTAAGGAAGGGTCCAAATAATCCCCCAATTCAGGTTATCAGCAAAGTTAGACCAATAGGGAACAACGTTAGGGATGCATGTGACATCTCTCTGGAATAAAGAGCGAATATTCCTATTATTATTCCTCGTTGTGATTGCGAAACAAATATTACCAACTGAGGTTAACTTTGGGTCCAAAGCTGGTAGGCAAACAGGTTTTCCAGACCTTTTTAAGAGAGTTAAGATACCAGAAGGGATGGCATCCATAACAATTGCGAACTCTCTTGGGGTGTTCTGTGATTTTTATTGGCAGTTTAAGCTATGTGCATTGACGTATCCTCTCGCGTGGCCTCCTGGGATAGATGAGTATCATGAGTAGCCGTGGAAAAGCACTCAAAAATCTGGGCGGAAGCAGTAAGCCATCCGGGAACTTCTCGCCTACTCTTTTTATGAAAACTGATGTTTGGAACGTACTGCTTCCTTCACGTACTGTTTTCGCCTACTATATAGTAGGAAAGTAGGCATATTGGAACGCACTTAAGTCCGAATCTCGCGACAATTACTACGTCACCCAGGTAATTCTCGCCTACTCTTTTGGATTCATTCATACTTTTTTGCTCGCCTACTCTTTTTCCCATACTAAATAGTAGGGAAGTATGCGGTTTGGAACGCAGCCAGTTTGTTCCTGCCATATCAACATTGGCAAACCCGCTGCTCAAATGACGCAGTTCCGGTTGATGGTAATGGTACTTTTAATCCACAGGAGGCGCTGTTTTCAAGTCTTTTTGGATTCATTTATTATTAAACGCGAAGTTATCGGTAGTAATAAAAAGGATAATAAAATTGAGTCAACTGAAACCCATTTTAGTGAAAGCTATTCCTAATGTTAGGAAAATTCTCATATGCTCACTGCTGTACTTCCATATATGCAAGTAAATTACACTTTTAAACACTTGTAAAATAACAAACAGTGAACAGTTAAAACTGTTTTGCTGAAAAGCTGAGCGTATTACTTTAACCGAAAGTGTTTACCTCATAAACGAACCAGACAAATTGAAATAGCGTTGCACAGACAGAGTGCATATCACATTTCTCAAACAACGGTTCTCATCATTTCCTGCACTACCTCCTCCTCCCAGCCAAAAGTCATGGGACAAACAATTCAGCGCACACTCCACTGAAAGCTAACTTACGCAAACTCAGAGCATGGATATGTGAAAGGTAACCTTGGCAACGCAAGCGTCACTTACCCAGAAAAGGTATGGATTTCTTTTATCTGACTGCCTCCTTTATGTTCGCTGCTCCTGTTCGTAACTCTTTTGAATTGTTATGTAAATGGATGAAAAAATCTCAGAAATGTCAGTAATGCTAAAACTGATTGTAAATGACCATAAATAACTAGTCTGCAGAGACTAAAAGAAAAGCACAATAACAGAACAAATACAGTGGGAAAACTAAAATTATAATAAAATAAATTACAGAAAAGATCAAGTAAAATTGCCAAGAGACTCAAATGTGTTTTGAAGTCGCCAGAACAAAGGCGAAACAATTTCCTTCATCATAACAGATATATCTGCTATAATACACGAGCGTATGAGAGGACAGTTACTAATCAGAATGGATATTTCTTCATACTGCATCTGAGAGATTTATCATCTCATCTGGTGTTTTACTGTGAAGCAGAAACAAGGAGGCGCTCTTAAACCTTCTAAAATCACCAAGAAAACGAATAGACGCATCTGAATCGTTGTTTTCACAGTTATCATTATGATAATGATCAGAATGTTTTTTAAAAATGAATTATTTTATGCTCATTTTGCTATTACTACTGCTAAAATGTGAAATTTAGAAAATAGAATAGATTCTATTTTCAGTCTGACCTCAGACTTAAGGCAACAGTTTTTACACTTAAATAACACCATCATGTGTGTACTGTAGGCTATGTCTGTCCCTCAGGGCCACAGCAGCTCTCTCTGTTCCTCTCTCTGTGTCTCTACCTCCCTCAAGGATGTCTTTGACTCCTTTCCCTCTGCCTTATCATGGGTCATGACAGATCTATCTCAAATGTTCTTCAAATCTTTTTGGTGTGTTCTTGTTCACATTCTTGTCACTGCAACATTGCAAGAAACTCAGAAAACAATGGTTTATAGTGATGTCAAAATATACAGTATGTGCATTTTTATCATGTTGTCAGACACATTAATATTATTATCAATCTAAATAATAAATAATAAGCTAAAATCATATATATATATATATATATATATATATATATATATATATATATATACGAAGAGTTCAGATGCAAAAGCCTCTGAATGCCATTTGAAATTTTCTTCTAAAATGATATTTTTTATCAAGCTTGTATATTTAAGTTCAGTAATTTCACTTAAATGGCAATGAAGATTACCTATTAATTGTCATTTAAGTGAAATTACTGAACTTAAATATACAAGCTTGATACATTGCCATTTAAGTGAAATTACTGAACTTAAATATACAAGCTTGACAAAAAAGACCATTCTAGAAGAAAATTTCAAATGGCATTTAGAGGCTTTTGCATCTGAACTCTTCATATATATATATATAGCATTAGATTTATTTTATGAAAACAAGTTTATTACCTTACACAGTTTTGCTTCTGTAGGCTAAGTAAACATGTTTTTAAATGGGACTAAAGGCTCCTGTCACTGAATGACCCATACAAAACATTTGAACTTACTCTGAGCATTGCCATTACATTTAATATAGACTACAATATTCTGCTTTGTATTTTCAAATGCCTGAACAGAATGATTGTGACAGGAATGTTTTGCGGTAAGGGCGTGTTAAACTTTCAGGGCTGTTGCAAATGGATACTGTTGTATTTTGGAGATTTTGTGGATTTTGCTGAACATGACTAATGATGAAGCCCTTACAAATGCTTTCAAAGAAGGGGAAACAATTTAACAGCTCTGGCATAATGTTTCTTATAACTAAATACTTTAACATGTGTAAATTGTACGTTTGACTTTTAACTGACTTGCTACTGGAAATGTAAGAGTATTTGAAAATAAATACAGAGATGTAAGGAAATACCTTCTAAACCAAATAGTTATTATGTTTTCCATCAAATGCAATATGTTAATCTCATTGTATAATAGTTGAAAGGTGTAAGTGCCCTGGTAATGCTTTGCAGTATTACTCCATCAGAAAACAACAGAATTGGTTGAATCACTTAAAGGAATAGTTCACCCAAAAAGGAAAACTCTGTCATTATTTACTCTCCTGTTTCAAACCTATATGAGTTTCTTTCTTCTGCTGAACACAAAGAAGGTATTTTCAAGAACATATGAATTTTTTTCCATATGTAAGTCAATGGAGTCAACTATCCTTTTTGTTCAGCAGAAGAAAGAAACTCAGGTTTGGAACAACTTTGGGGTGCGTAAATGATGACAGAATTTTAATTTTTGGAGAAGTTGTGGATTTTTTTTTCTGCACAAAACAACAAAATTAATTTGTTTTGTGGTTCCAACTGCTGGGACCATATCAAGAATGCATTATGTTTTGATTGGGTTAACACTGCAACACAGCATGCAGCAATGATTGGAAAAAGGGCTGTTTGGCTTTTAGATTAGTCCATAGCAAACATTTCCAGCCACATATTTTGGTGTCATGATCGCCGTAACAGGCATCCTCTACCATGGGAGATGTTTAGTCTGGGCCTCGTGGTGTTCTTGAAAAAAATCAGGATGCAAGGTTAAATATAGTGAACGCTTGCTTGAAACGTGAGAAAAACATGACAGGCTCAGATATGACCTTAGCAAATATACAGTGTTCCAAATATCATAATAATATGGTTGTGCAGTAGAAACAATAGTTTCAGCAGGTTTATTGTTTCTCAAGGTTTTGCAATAAAAATAAACTTATGTATTTCCTGATAGACTCTGGTCCAATTCAGTATTTGGACTGACCCAACACTAGAATTATTTCCCTCTTCAAAACACTTGGAGTGAATGACTGTTCTTGGAATGAAGTGACGATCTGGCGTAACTGTCCCTGAGCTATTATATCAGCAATTTAATACAGATTTGGGGATAAACCCCCACATTGTGTTTCAACACACCAGATTCCACATTTCTGATTAGGTATTGGTACAATTTGAAAGGGTTCCAGAGAAAGATGTCATCATACAGCTTTTGTCAACCACAGATCCCTGCTTCTTATTGCGGTTGCTTATTTGGCAGCAGGTTGCTTGCACAACTTTTTGTCCAGCAGAGACTGCTTTTAAAACATCAAACCTTATTAAAAAAATGGCATTTTAATAATAGACTGGCTTTTGACAGAACTTGGAGGATTGGTTTAAAACGTGATATGCAGATTGTGCAAAATTTGACATGACTTTTTTTTTTTTCCAGTTAGACCTGATGTGAAAAAGTTGGCAGGCTTGGTTTGTTCTGTAGATATTCTGAAGTTGTGTTTGATAGTTTGAAAACTGTCCGTCAACCTAAGACACTGTATACACGGTATAAGTAACTTAATATACAGTCTTTGTAGCCTACATACTTAATGTAGCTTTCTCTCCAGTCTTGTCCCCAACAAGTACACTTTCAACGGTTCTTTGTCTGTTTGTTCTCGAACTAATACTTCACATAGGCCTATGTGATTGCATACCACAGTTTAGACAGCTGTTTGCAATGTGTTATGCTTGTCCTCTGCTGCTGAGAAACTGAACATATGGATAATGGTAAATCATGGATGACTCCACAGAATTCGTGTTTATATAAAGCTTTTTAAGTAATCAGTAAAAATTAAACCCTTGCAGCAAGAAAATCAATCAATAAATGTTTCTCACTATGACAATTAGCCTAATTTCACATGATCAGATCATTTTGTATAGGCGAAATGTTGCTGGTGTGGTTGTGAAAAGCCTTAATTAACAAACGCTGAAAAAAAAGTAAAGGTCAGACTTATGATAATGTACGATTAAATTTCATCCACTTCAAAATATAAGTATATGTAAGCAAGCTGAAGTAGGCTACTCCGTTAACGTTAACTTACCTAGCCCACCCCGTGAGACCGTTTTGTACGAGCTTTAATAACGTGTTCAAATAAGGAGCTATTCTTGGTTGTTGTTTTTTTCCTGTGGAAGGATGAAGGAAATATCAGGCAAAATAGTTATGTGTGAAATGTGAAACGTATTTATTTTAACCCTGCTTAATTTGCCACTCCAGCGTGTAAAGTTCAGATCCATCCTCCATGTGGCTCTTGAGAAGAGAGTTTCGTTTCGTGTAGGAGGCTGGGAGCGCGAGAACCTGGAGCTGAGAGTGGGGGGCAAAACAATCCGTCTCCTTGGCAACTAGCTCAGCCTTCTGCCAAGAGAGAGTTCTCAAGTAGGGAGGGATTTACCCCGCTTGAAAGGACATGCTTGGAAGTTTAGGGAAAAGTTCCAGGTAGTACCGGCAAATCGATGATTTTCTTTTCTTTTTTTTGCAATCGCTATGAGTGTTTGTGAGACGCTGAACAAAATGGCACGATCAGCGGGACGTTCCGTTCAGGTAAAACTTCTATCTCATTCTATCGGGGTTAACGTTACATTGTATGAAAATGAGCACAGTCAATCGCAAACAAAGGCTGTGTGTCAAAACCTAGTTCGCTTTCTTGATAGAAAGCATTTTTGAGCATCATTGGAGAAAAATGATAGGCGCGTGGCACCTCAAAATGCTCAAAACATGATGCCCAAATGCTAACGTAACTCACTTGGTTTAAGTCACAGCCAAAGTAAACAGTGAAATCTAATTGTGGGTCAGAACATGACTTTTCTTAAAAATGTGGTTGAATCTGTATTACGTTAAATATGTTTACCTTATTTGGTAATTCCCCAACTCGTATGACTGTTGGTTGTTTGTTTACTCAAACGTTTAATGGGCTGAGTTTTTAGTTTTATTTTATGAATAGTTTAGTGCCCCAAGGTCAAGTCTAATTTCAACAAGTTTATGGATTTGTTTAGTGGCCAAAATACTGTTGAGGATTGTATTATTTGTAGCAGCTAGCTCAAACAGTTGAGTAATGCCAAGGTCATGGGTTTGATTCCCAGGGAGGGAATGCATGTTGATTGCAAACAATGTATAAGTTACCTTGAATACAACGTAAGTCACTTTGTATAAAAACAACTGCTAAATGCTTAAATACAAATATAATGTTGGCTAAATGTTGAATGAGAAAGGATTGACAGCAAATGAGTTCTTCCTTAATGGCACATGTTGTTCCCACTAAAACC